AAGCTCATCAGCACTCCCAGCCGCGAAAGTGCATTGGAACCCTTCTCTTCGATGCGCTCCCATGGCTAGGAGTTCCGATCAGCTGACTAGTGCTTCAAGCTGTGGGAGCACTGGGTGGCAGACTTGCTGGTGCAATTAATTCTATAGATTTCAGTCTCAGTTAAGAGACGTTTTGAATTAAACCATCATACTTTTAATGAATTATTTCACTTTGGCTATGGTAGAACTAACTACTTTTTCCTAATTGCCCGAAAGAAAAAAAAACATATAGGCATTCACTGAAATTCTTGAAATAATTCCAGCTCCCAAAAACAGATTCAGATGAAACAAACTGTTTGTCAACTTTGGAAAAAACTTTTCTGTTCTTTTTCTAGGAGCTGGTTTAAGGCAGAATAAGATTTTTGGACAGCTATCTTTTCTTTAGAACAAAAGGAATGTTTTCTAAGATGCATTTTACCTTACTAAAAATGCTTTTAAAGAGTAAAATCAACATGTATGGCTGACTGAATTACTGAGAAAAAGGCAATATAAGTGAAAAATGGTTTCCAAATTGTGTTCCATTGATATACTTGTCATACCAGTTGAACAGAATAGGATTCAGGCCTTGAGATGAGCTACACATGCAAAGTACCTATCACGCAATAAAAATATCCAACCAGCTATTAAGTTAGACCTCAAAAACATATACTAACTTTTTAGCTGGTTGCTATCAAGCTTTAATTTCCACTTATAGCAGGGTCTCCCATGTAGCTGGCAGCCCTGTCAGCTGATGGGGTTCCCAGCCACAGGGATACACCATGCCCAACTGAGGTCGCTATTTCTGCAATTAAGGGTACTCTCAGCCCCAGCAGCTGCGGACACTGGGTTCCAGCAGCACTCTCCCAATAGTAGTGGGGCATATCTGCAGTCTTCCAGCCCTTGAAGATGCCTAGATTCCCTAGGACTGGGAGATTGCAGCAGCTGTGGTCTTCCAGCCTCAGGGGTATATGAAACCCCTGAGGCCAGGAAATCATGGCTGCAGTGATCCCCAGCCCTGGGGGTTTTGCACATGCCCGAGGCCAGGAGACCATAGCTGCCATGATCTCCCAGCCCTGGGGGTTTCAGGTACACCGGAGACTGAGAGATTGAGGCTGCTGCTATTTCCCAACCATAGATCACAGCAGCTGCATCTCCCAGCCTCTGGAGTATATGGGGCACTTCTGCAACTGGGAGGGGGCTCAATTGAGGGGGCTCCCTCCCAGCTGCACTGGCGCTGGCCACAGCAGCCTCTGCTGCCTCCCAGCCTCTGCACCTGCCTCAGTTGCCTCCCAGCCATACTGGCCCTGGCTGCGCACCAGCCAGGGGGGGCCAGAGCTGGGGGCCAGAGCGGGGCCAGCCTTGGCTGCGCTACTGGGATAGAGGGGATGGAGCCCCCGGAACCCCCATGCCTGCTCTACCCCACCCCATGTGGTCCCCATGAAAAGCCCGGCAGCTTCTTCAGAGGTGCAGTACCGGGCAGCCAAGGTGGGAGGGAGGGCATGTGGTCCCCCAGTCTTCACACAGGCAAGGGCAGGCTGCAGCTGCGAGCTGGGCTCAGCCTCTGCTCCATGCCTGTGTGCCTCACCACCACTGCTTCGAAAGCAGCAGGCTCTGCCATGTGCCCACTTACTGGGCGGGCTGAGCAATGGGGCCCCAGCCAGGCCGGGTCGTGCGACAATCCCCACATTGCAGGAGGGAGCGGGCCATGGGCAGGGGTGAATGATTAGCTCTCCCCCTACCCCACTCTCTCCTGTACTGTGGGGTATCAATCTGAAAATAACATTAAAAGAAACTTCCCTGCCTGCAGCTGGGCCAGTTGCAATCCTGGCTGCAGGTGCGAAGGGTAGCTCAGCATGCCTGTCCCTCCCCCCCTGCTGCAGGACCCTGCGGCTGGGCTGCCCTAAAACCATGCCTGCTACTGCCCTGTGTTTGGGGGGGCTGAGCCCTGTTAGCCCTTGCTCCCCCCTCCCCGCTTCCGCCACCTATGCTTCCAACTGCAGGAGCTTGCTTCTTGCTGGTGCAGAGGGAACCTGGGATTCAGCTCCCCCTTCACTGGCAATAAAGCATAATGGGATCTAATGTATGATCCGACAATTGCACCTCCTGCCATGCATGTGTGGCATGGCAGGAGGCACAAATGTGTGGATCATACATTAGATCCCATAGCACCTTTACCTGCATGTGTAGAGGGCCCCTTGGGGCACTTCTACACATACTCTGGGGTGAAGGGGTGTTTAATTAGAGTGGTTTGAGAGAGAGAACTTAGTTGGTGCAAAACCTACACCTAGAGGGTGTTCGACTCCAGCGGGCCTTTCCATGTTTTAGACCAAATAACTGAGTGGGTAGGGCACTTGTCTGGAAACCAGGAGTCCTAACTCCCAGGCTGTGCATGTCACCATAGCCCATATTCCTTTACCATTGTTGTGTTGGAAGCATTTTAATGAGCTGGTTTCTCTGGGTCTGAACAATGTTAATTCCATTGCTCCTTTACTTTTGAAGGCCTCCACTATTAGGTATTCTGCTCCTTGGAAATAAATGTGTAAATCAGAGCTGGTCAGTCCCATCAAAAATCCTAGAAAACAAAGTAAATGTTATATCAAATATTTTGAATGCTCTTTAGAGTAAGTATACTGATTCAAAAAATGCCTTTCTAAATTTCTACTGGTAAGACTGCAACATTTAGCTTCAATTAAACAATTATGTTCTTGTATGGGCAGTAGAAAAATACTGGAAAGCTGCTAATCTGGCTTCATTGGAAAGGAAAATTATACTCAATTTTCAAGGAGAAAAGTTACCTTGAAGTACTCCAGTGAGAATTATGTTTATTAAAGGTGCTCTGATGTATCAGAGGGATATCAGATTGGCACTGATGAAAGGAAGATTAACGTTATCAGGTATCAGCATTTTTTGGCCAGTGTAGCCAATAATTTCACCGATGAAATGCTGTGTGAGACTTCCATGGTGAGGGAGGGAGGGAGGGAGTAGCGTAGGGACAGAGGCAGGCTCTGTGTAGCCAGGGCAGTGAATGTGACCCCGGGGCTAGGAGCAGGATGGAGCTGTGGGTGGCTCATCTGGGATGCAGGAGGTGGGGAGAGGACGCTGGAGGGGTGGGATGGGGGGGGCGGCTGCTATAACTATAGCTACCCCAAAATTGCCCATAGCTCCCCCATAGCCACCCCTCCCAGCACCGCTGCTGCCTGCCCCGTGCAATTGAGCCCACCCTGCCCCCACCCAGCCCTGGCCTAGCGCCCCCCACTCTCTCACTGGGAAGAGGCCGCCATAGCCCCTGGCCCCAAGCCCACAGCAAGCAGCCCTCCCTCACCCCATGCACAAATCCAGGGGGCATATGCCCCGCATGCCTCTCCTGGCTCACCAGTGCAAAAAGCTATTTTGTCCTGCTGTCAAACTAGAAAAATACTTTGCAGACTCTTGCCTAACAAGATGATGTCTAGAAACTCCCTTTGATTTCTTGATGAAGTAGCTTTGGGATTTCTTCTGAAGTATTTGAAGTCTTGTTAGGATCAAAATTCTGTTGCCAATTTGTTGAGTTGCAGGGCTTGCTGTTGAACAGTTATAACTCCAGCATTTGGCTGAAGTAAAAAAACAAATTAGATATTCATTAAACAACATCAGCAAAGGAATGATTTTTTAACCATTTGTGAGAGGGGGGGAATCAGTTTGGCTGTTAAAAAAAAGTGGTAATGATATTTCAGCTTTGCAAATCTGCTATGCATATGCATTATTATTCACACCAGGCCCCAGGTAAGCATAGTATTTTATGGAGCACTAGGAAACATCGTTGTTGTCAGCGATCCCTCATGGTTGAGGATGATCACTCCCACAGGTCAAGTAAAGGGTTGTAGATGAGTAAATGTTGGATCCAGCGGGAGAAGCCTGTGCATGACTTGTTTTACATGAGGAGGGTGTTGCACATCAGCAACCACACTGATCTTAGTGAAGAAGAAACCTGCGTCCAGTGGCAAGGAGATCCAAGAGGACTGGGGTTACTCTTCCATTGCAACCTTCATCTGGCTTCACAGCCATTGGGAAGTATACCTTCATCTGTCTGCTTCACCGTTGTGGTCTTTAATGTTATTTTGGACTGCTCTTCATCTGATACCTCACCTTTGACCTTACCATCATAGCTGACCTGACCAGGAGTACAAGACTCCCAATGGTGTTGCTCTAAGGGTCATCAGTACATGCAGGCCTCTCTACCCTGTCAAGGTGGCAGTCCATGGAGAGGTTAGGAAGCAGTCCACACCCAGTAGGCTTTATACATTCAGTCAGATAGCAGTCACTCATTTCACTGACCTCAAAATTCTTCCTCCTAAAACTGAAACACGCTAAGGTATTTTATGGTTTCTATTGTTGCTGTATATTGCTACAACAGCTTCCCTGTTCCAGTGTGACTAGCAATCTTGTTCTCCCAACTTGGAACCCTTGTAGAATGCTACTTTTGTCAGCATCTTCCACCAAAGACCTTTGTTGTCATGTCTCTCTTTATAATTATTTCATTTAGCCCACATATCATTATTTCACTGTGCCGTTGACAAAGAAAATACATTTTTAATTTTTTAGGTTTTTAGCTATTCTTCCCAAATAATTTGTCCTTATGTATGCCTGTAAAATGTCATTAATGTTAATGGTGATAGATGAGTAGTACTAACAGCCCCATTTTTCAATGCAAATCACTGGTTGAACCATGCTGAATAAGTATGCACCTGCTTTCACTGGTATAGCCAATTTTGTGTGAAGTATTGGGTACTTAAAATCAGAGGCAGCATTTGAATAACTGAATTCCTAAAGGTGCAAATTACCAAACCTTCAGGTGAGCAATGTCAATTAAAGGCATATTCCTGACAAATCTAAATTATTCTATTAAGATTATGAAATTGTTTCTTTTGTCAGGTATTTAACTTCCTCTAGAGAAGAGCTGGTGATTGGATAGAACTTGATAAATGTTAACTTTTGATTTTTAGAGAGCATACTGTGGCCAGTGCAGTGAAAGGATATGGGGTCTCGGAAGGCAAGGCTACAAGTGTATCAACTGCAAATTGCTGGTCCATAAACGTTGTCACATACTTGTTCCACTGACCTGCAAAAGGCATATGGTAAGTTTGCACTGCAAAAAAAAAAAGAAGCTTAAGATGGTTTACAATTTTGGAAGAGTATTTGAAACTGACAAATGCTCTTTTTAAAAAATTCTGGTATATAACACTTGGTGATATTGTGGGTTTAATTCCAATGTCCTTCCTGTTCTAGGATCAAAATTATATGGCTGTCTGTCCTCCTAATCCATGGCCTTCTCCAAACATATTGCATCCCATCTCCACTCTCTTGTTAGTTTCTATGGCTTCTTCATCAATCAAATCCATTCCTTCCTCATCATTCCCACTGCTGAAGTGCTTATATGCACCTTGCCTTGATGGCCTGATTCTTTTGTCTTACTTATATGGAGCTTGTATTTGAGAGAAAACTGCTTGCTGATTTATGTGCTCTAATAATTCTGTATGGCTTTTCATATATTCGTGGTTGAGACCAACAGCAGAATTTGTTATCAAAATTAAAAAATATATATCCTTTTTAATGACAAGAAGACCTTTTGGAACAAATGAAAGTATTTCATATTTTAGATGGGGCAAAGCATATTTAAATGCTTTTGATTGCAAAGATAAATTCACACGAAAGCATGTACACTTTATAAGACATGGCCACAGTTTCACATAAGGCAGTCTTAGATCTTTAATTCTGTTTGAGTTTGCACATTCCTGTAAAATATGCTGTATTTAGTTTTAAAAGAGAATTAATAAACATGAAATGTGTTTACACTGCACATTTCAGACAGCAGATGAACTTTTTGTAGAGTCTCTTTATAAGGTAGTACAAACCGTCTGTGTTCTAATATGGTACCTGCAGTGCTCAGTTCCTTTCCTGGAAATTTCAGATATAAATTCCTAACCATAACTTATTAATGTAAAAAGACATACTTATCTAAAATCTTTAGGAGGCTCTAACTAGGTACCATAAAACAGAAAACAATAATTGATGGATATTTTTCAGTAACTTAAGTTTTTTGCTAGGATTCGGTCATGCCTTCCCAGGAACCTCAATTAGATGATAAAAATGAAGAAGTTGACGTGCCCTCAGAAGAAACTGATGGAAGTAAGTATTTTTCCCATTGGCATACAGTATATAATACTGCTTATTTAAATGTAACTACATTCACTGTTACTTATTATTGGTATTACAGTAGTGTCTAGAAACTTCCTTCAGGGATCAGGGAATTCACTGCATTGGGCACTATCTGCACATGATAAAAGGCAGTCCTTGTCCAGAAGATCTTAAAATCTTATCATGCATGTCCACCGCTGTAAAACAGGGGTTGTCAGTTAGTGTTTGTCAACTATTTTAAGATAGCAGAATGAACGAGATGTAAGAATTTTTTAAAAATGGATAACACATCTAATGGGTTTTAGAACCCATAATTTGTAAATTTGTAACATTAAAATATGCATTACGAGCAAACGTAAGCTATCCAGAAATGAAACATTAAGCATCATGTCTGTAGCCTCCTAATTAAGGTGTCTCATTAACATGGAGCCTAGTTTTCTCTGTTTAAAAATACAAAATTCTATGATAAAAAATTCAAAATCTGTGTCTTTTCTGCAAATAAAATGAAATGGCACTGTATATATAGGTATCAGTTGAACACAATGTTTTATTGATATATGATTTTAAAACAGTTTGGAAGCCTACCAGTGCCTCAATCATTATAATAAAGTAAATTCTAAATACCTATATACTTTGGCATTTGATCTTGGTTTTTTTATCATGGAAAACAGGACCTGCCTCCCCCGTTCTCACTCACCAGAATGCAGGCCCAGCTGTG